TGGAAACCTTTTTTGGACTTTTTGCGGGAAACAGAAAAAAATGAAATTATGTTGTATGGATTTTCTGCTTAGAAATAATATGCATTAATAGAAATAATGGAAGTCATATTTTAAATTTAAAGTAAGAATTTGATGTATATTGTTACTTATATCTGTTGCAAGGAGGATCAGAAGTCAATTCTTTTTTTCTTTTGATGTTTCTTTACTTTTGTGCACTTTTGATTTTTACTATTTTTTCTTTTTTCAATTTTCTTTTTCTTCTTTCTCTTAACATTAGTTTTTGTTAATTTTTAACTGTCCTTTTAAAAATTTAATAAAGTTATTATAAAAAAAATTGTTCTCTACAAAATAGAGAACCACCTAAGAACAACTGAATTCTTCAGAATTTTATCTATTAATTCCTTTGCCTTACCTGTTAAAGCAAAGTACTGATGCTGAAAGATTTTTGTCTTGTCAGGATGCAGTTTACTTCTGAAAAAAACATGTTATGTAGATACCATGGGTTTTTGTCAGAATTACCTGTTGGCATCCCTGATGGAGCCTATAATAATAAGTGAATGTTGATATTCTTATACAGGAAAGTGAACTGGAGAGAATAACAAGGAAATTCACATTAGAATTGGCCAAGAAAGGTTTTATAGGTGAGTTCATTTTTGTAAAAAAAGTGATTATTTCACAGGCTGCCCCAAATATCAGAAGAGATTAGGAGATCACCCTCCAACCTGTTGTCCTCTTATTATGTTAAACAGCACCCAGCATTCTCTGGCTGTGTTGTACAAAGTTATAAAAGTATAATGCCTGCCATCTCTTACGGACATCTGGCAACCCGATTGCCTTGGATTGACATTAAAATCTGGAGAATTTTATTCTTTAATCAGCACTGTATGTATCAAGCCTGATCTCTAGTGCAGAGTTATATTACTTGGGAATATCCATTTTTCATTATTAGAAAATCCTGTATGTTTTAGTATTGTTGCCTAGTTTAAGGAGCCTTAACCAAGGTGCCCTGAGCTCCTTCCCCTGACCTGGTGGCTTTGCTGATCAGTTTTTTTGGTTATCTTCTCTCCTCTCCTCTCCTCTCCTTAAGCATGAGAACCACACAGACACATTTGCAGATGTTAAAATGAAAATATCTGAATATTTTTTTTAAAGGGCCCTGTTTTTTTCCTGGCATTCGGCCTCTTTCTTCCTGCTTACTATTTCTCTTCTCCTTACTCTTTCTGTTCTGGTGCAGACTGTACCTTCAGTTGCACCTCTCTTTACTTTGGGTTCTGCAATGGTTATCACAGTGATGAGCATATCTGGAGTGATATTTTTTTTTTTAAGAAAGGAAAAGTTGTGTGCCATTGCTGCATTTCTAGGTCTTAGAGTTTGGGGTCAAGATCTGTGCCCATTAGTTCTGTTTTATTGCATACTGTACTGCTTAATAAAGGGGGATGCGGTGGTGCAGCAGCTTAATGATGCTGAAAGTTGCCGGCCAGAAGTGGTCAACACTTCAGTGGTTCGAGCCCAGCTCCACGCAGCAGAGTGAGCTCCTGCTTCCTCCCCAGCTCCTGCCAACACAGCAGCTTAAAAACTTACATGAGTAGATAAAGCAAAGCACAAAGCACCCACAGGGTGGGTACTCTCACCCTGGTGGGAGGAAAAATGCTGGCGACGCCTTGCAAAGGAGATGGGACCAGTTGCTGGTAACGCAGAAGCCGCGCATGCCCAAAAAAGGCATGAAGCCATGGAAACCCCGCTTCCTGCACTCGCTAGCTGGGCTCTGCTCTAGGAAGGAGGCAATGGCAAACCACTTCCGAAACACCTTGCCTTGAAAACTGCAGGGACTCGTCCAGGCAATCGCTGCAGAATCAGTAACGATTGAGTGCAGATTTTAAAAAAAACTGCCTAATAACTGAGAATATAAATTTCAACTATGTGTGAACCATTTAATGAAAAAAGTAGAAATGTGACTGAATAAGATTTTAGTGGGCAAAGGGTGGTATATTTGTTTATCTCTGATTCTTCTCAGTTAAAAACAAGTGTGCAGTTCTGTAGCCTTTTGCCTAGAAATATGTTCATTTGAGCTGAATGGACTTCTGAGCTGACATGCTGATTTGCTTTGTTCACATTTATACAGATAACTCAGTTTAAACTATTTTATACATATTTTGTTAGTTCATTATATGTTCAGTTCTCCTTTTCCAACCTTTATTGTTAAAAAAAAAAATAAAGCTGCCATCCATTACCATAATTCACGACTATTGAATAAACATACATCAGGTTGCATAGAGAATGCCTAAGTTAAACATTTGTTCAGTTTTATACAGGTGTGTGGATACACACACACATACACAAATGATGGATGCATTCTGGCAACATTTGTGATTTGTGGTAGAAAAGACTTGTCAAAAAACTGACTGCTCTAATTTGTTTAATATGAACAGGTCCTGGAATTGATGTAGGTGCTCCTGATATAAACACAGGAGAAAGGGAGATGTCCTGGATTGCTGATACATATGCCACTACACTTGGATACCAGGTAAAGTTAATTCTATAGACAAAATTTTTTGTGTGCCTACTTTCTAAATACCCTTGCAGCTTGATTCCTTCTCCAAATATTTGATTTAAAGGAAACTGGAAGTTTGGCTGTATTACATTTTTTAGTTTGCTCTCTTTTTAAGTGGTGAGTACACATGCTTCAGGAGATGACAGAGTTCTCAGCTTTCTGGCCTTTGGTGAAATAAATATTTAGTTTGGTACAGTTATTTATTGTTTCATGTTGATAATTGCAGGATATCAATTCCCCTGCTTGTGTGACTGGGAAACCCATAAGTCAGGGAGGAATCCATGGACGCATCTCAGCCACAGGCCGTGGAATTCTATATGGAATTGAAAACTACATCAATAATACAACATATATGGATCTTATTGGCCTTAAAACTGGCTTCTCTGGTAAAACATTTGTTTTGCAGGTAAATATGGTACTTAGCTGCTGTAGCATACTGTAGATATAATCTCATTTTTTCTCAGAATTGGAAAAAAAACCCTAGTTTACTGTTAGCTAGTCCATCCTTACAAATTGGGACTGATACTGCATTTCAAAAGTGGTAACATAGACAAAATTGGACTCATACTGAGCTGGCATATTTGATTGTACTTATTATTAAAACAACCCTGTCAATAATTTGGATTTTGATATTTTACATGGTTCCAGATATTTTTATGTGTAGTTACATATTATGTACAGCACCATATTATACAGATTATCTATTATGGTCACAAGCATTTTTTTTAATGATTTTGCATTATATGTGCATACACACACATGCATATGCATGCACACACACATATTGTTACTACTGTCAGCCCAAATTAATCCACTGTAGAATGAAGACATCTTCACTGAAGGTCGTGGACCATTATCTATCATGCTTACCTGGTGCAGATTGGTGGATAGAAGCTAGGGCTGAGAGAGAGAATGACTGGCCCAAAGTCACCCATCCATACCTAAGGGGGGACTGGATCTATCTACCTACTTACCTACCTACCTTTGAAAAAGAAAATGATGAGGCTGAGAGAAAGTGATTTGCTGTGATCATAGAAAGAGGGGAAGAGGAAAGAAGGAAGGCACTGGGAAACTTGGAAGTGGGGAGTGCTGGAGGGATGTGCCACAGGTTTGGGACATTAACAAAGAAGAGGGAGGGAAGACATGGAGAAGATCTAGAATGAGACAGACTGGTTGAATTTACTATACAGGTAGTCCTCATTTAACATCCACTGGTTCAGCGACTGAAGTTATGACGGCACTGAACAAGGGGTACTTACAATGGGTCCTCACTGTTGTAGCCATCACAGCATCCCCACAGTCATGTGATTGCAATTTGGGGACTTGGCAGCTGGCTCACAATTACAACATTGCAGCATCCCACGGTCATGTGATTGCCATTTGTGACCGCCACTGCCAGCTTCTGACAAGCAAAATCAATGGGGAAGCTGCCAGCAGGTTGCAAATGGTGATCATGTGACTGTGGGACGCTGCCACCGTACGGGATTCACCTAATGACAGCAACTAGGACTGCTGGAACTTCCCTCATAGTCCACACAGTCACCTGATGTTGCACCTTACGACTGTATCACTTAGTGACAGAGTTCCCAGTCCCAGTTACCAATGGTAAGCAAAGACTACCTGTATTGGGACATTGGCAGTGGTTGAGGGGAGGAAATAAAGGGAAAGGAAAGTGCTTGAGGAAGTAGGCCAGCCTATGGGATATGTTGCACTGGAACAGCAGCATCTGATTGGAGGCAGGAAAGAGAATAATAGAATAATAGGATTGGAAGGGATCTTAGAGGTCTTCTAATTCAATCCCCTGCCCAGGGCAGAAATCCTCATACCAGTCTAGGCAAATGGCTATCCAACCTTTGCTTGAAAACCTCTAATGATGGAGCAGTCATGACTCCAGGAAGCAGACTGTTTTACTGCTTAATAGATCTCACAGCCACTAAATTCCTCCTTATTTTGTGTTTGGCTCTCCCTCTGTCAAGCCTCCACCCACTAGTTCCTGTCCTTTCTATGGGAGCTATAGAGAATATATGCATACTTTTCCCCCTGCTGTCATGTCTCCCCTTAGCCTTCTCTTTTTACCTTAAACATACTCAGTTCCTTTAACTGTTCTTCATAGGATTTAGCCTCCAATCTCTTTGCCATCTTTTCCACTGTTCTGTGAACTCGTTCCTCAACATCTTTCTTGTACTGCATTGAGACAATATTCCAGGTTCAGTCTGATCCATGGAGCATAGAATTGGAACTATTCAGTTATTTTCTGGTCTTGATATTATACCTGTATTGATGCAGCCCAAGATTGCATTGACTCTTTTGGCAGCTGCAGCACACTGCTGGCTCATACTTAATCCATGCTCTGCCAAGGTGCCCAGTTCCTTCCCACAATTATGACTGCTGAGCCAGGTACCACTAATCTTGTACTTTGTAGGAGGAAAAACATGTTAGTCTATGATGGCAAAAAAAAGGAGTCTGGTAGGACCTTTTCCAACTAACAAAATTTATTAAGATGCACAAACTTTCGTGAACTGCAGCTCATTTCATCAAATGCATAGAGTGGCTAGACTAATGTAGGATGAGGTGAGGGATGGGGGGATGGGAAAGATAGGTTACCTGCATCTGCAGCTTACAAAAGTTTATGCCTTTTAATAAAATGTGTTAGTTGGAAAAGGTGCTATTAGACTTCTGCTATTTTGTACTGGTGCATCTGGTTCTTCCTACCTAAGTGCACAACCCTTTGTTTCTTGTGCTTGAACTGCGTTTTGGGGAAATAGGGGCTAGGGTTCAAGTCTAATATTAGCCTTTTGATCCTTGAAGCTGTCTTCTGAGATGTTAGCAGTCTCCTTCAGCTTTGTCATCTGCAGATTTGCTAAACATCTGTTCTATCCCCTCAACTGAGTCATTTATGAAAAGTTTGAAGAGCACTGGGAGGATTGGGGATAGGCAGTCTAGTGAGATATACTGTCCTGGGACTTCTTTGGGGAAAGAGAGGGCAGTGCATGCCAGCTTTGACCTTTCCTCCTTTCCCTCAGCCAGCAGCGTTGATGTCTTTAACTTTTTACCCACTCTTCCTCCACCCTCCCAGCAGAACAATTTCTGCTCAGAATAACCCTGTTTTGTTCTGTGCTGTTCATGGAACAATGCACGCGTAGAATGTATTCATACCCCTGTTGAATTTCTGTTGAAGTAAATTGTTACTATAAGCTTTCACATGGCCATAGAATTGGTTAGCACTTACTTCTGGGTAACTTTCTCAACTCCCATCATAGTGCACATCTGTCTTTAGGTAGAGATAGATTAATGATATCATTCTCTAGGCTTACAAGATTTGGCCTTTAAAAATGTCATCTAGCCTTTCAGATTTTACAGCACAATTAATCTAAGCCAGAAGTTGTACCATGGAACAGACCCTTTTTATTCTTTCCCAGTCCACTGGAATGTAAAGAGGCTTAGGAGCTATCTAACTCTCCAAAAACTCAACAAGATGAGACCAAATTTGGTGTGGTGGGAGAAATCAGCCAAAAAAAAAAAAAAGATTGAGTAGAACATGGTCTGAGTCTGCCTAGGAACTGCAGAGAAAAATATTCTAGAAAAAAATCTCCCAACATTTTCCAGTGGGAAACACAATCAGACAGTGCTTGGAATCCTGCTGATTCCTCCATTCTAAGCCCCCTCTCCTTCTCCAAACCAGTCTTGCAACTCAGTGGAGCTTATGCAACCTACCTTGTGTTTCTTGATGCACAGGCATGCTCACACCATGAGGAGAAATCAAAAACACACATATGCACAGGTAACACATATACACACACTTCTATTTGTCCTTGGGGGAAAAGTATGTGCGCTCCCAGCCCCCATGTTACTTCATTACATAGAAGAAAATAGGGACATCTCCTATGGCCATTACTAGTAAAGGAGTTGAAGGACTTCCAGAAGCCATGTTCTGCATGCTTTCCCTATCTTTTTTATAGTACAACACTATAATATATTTAAACTATAGACCAGCTGAATTTGTTGGTGACAAGTTTTTGATATAGAGCATCATATTAAGCAATCTTTAAACTATAGTGCTAATCTAGGGATGTGGGACCAAATGAAGAGGTCTGAATGATATCCAGAATCACTCACTATGGAAGAGGAAAAAACCACCAGCACCATTTATCATCATGTACAGCTCTCAGCTAAAGCCTCAGAGAATAGAACCCATCCTGAAAAGATAATTTTCTTTTTAACTGTGTTGCTTAGATATTTCACTCCTAATCTGATGCAATTACTGACCAGCAACTAGGGATCACCTAAAGAACATTCAGGAAGCCTGCATGATATTCCTTCAGGATATTAACAGTGTATAGAATAAACAAAATTCTTCTCATATATATTTTTACACTATTTCTGTTATACTTTTTTTATCATTGATGACTGGAGAGTAATCACAGCCCACACTGATTGGATTAATTGATTTGGATTCAGGATGTGTTAGCATTATGAACAGCAGCATCATATGCCTGTTGCTGCCTTTTATATTACATGAACTTTGGGCCTCATTTGTTTAAAAAAAAAGATTCTGAGTATTCAGAATGTCTATCTGATTTGATGACCATGCTATATCCCTGAAAACAAAGGCTGTGATCTATGAAAATATATGGTGTAATTAGGCTTTTACACTACCTTCCTACCTGTCTTCCAAAGAGCTTAAAAATTTTGCTGCCTTCCATCCTGCTTCATGCTCACTGTAGTCTTATGAAGTAGGTTAGGCTGATAGGAGAGTAGCTGACTAAAATGTATTCAGTAAGTTTCATAATGGCTTTTGCTTTTAACTCGAATTTTCTCAACAGTAGGCCAATTTTTTAATCAAGGCACTGTGACTTTGAGGTACTAAATTATTTTTGTTTTTTGTGGGAGCAGAATAAATAGCATATTATCCAAATCTTGTTTTTAATAACACAAACAATATTTTGCTTCAGCCATACCTCTTTTTAGTATCAGCTCTCCCTCAGAATGACTGTCCTGTTAATATATTCCTTCTAAACCGGCAGTTTGCCAGCCTCCCTTAAGTCCAAGAAAAATGTCTTTCTCGAAAAGCAATTTTTGCCTCAGGTTGAAAAACTTGGCAAGCAGAGCAAAGCTGAGCTTGTACAAGAAATTGTTTCTAAGTCATCTCTGTTGAATTGAGTTTGCTGAGCAATCCCTCAAGAAATGCTTCACTTACTCTAATTAACTTACCAAGAAAATTAAACTTAGAGGGGAAGTCCTCAAATCCTTTGGGAGTCTTTGTGGATTGTTATTCTCCAGTAAGCCATGTTTCAATCTTTGTCAAAGATATCAAGGAGGGGCACAGATAAGTTAGTATACAAGCAGTTACTCCAAGCAGAAGAGCTCAGTTACTGTGAGTTATTTCCCATCTGAATCGTCTTTTTCTATTCTTGGCATTAAATCTAAACTAGAATCGATCATGTAATGTGATTTAGTTGTTGCTATCATCTTACTGGAAAGTTCTATAGTGATTGTCATCTTTGTATTTTGCTGTTTTCTTTGGATTTTTCTTTTGAAAAGTTAATTGAACAATGGATGCTTTAATGAATGGAAAGTACATTAAGAAGTTAAATGTCGTAACTGATCTAAGCATACATCCTTGCTCTACAGATAAAATAGGGAAGAAAGGAAACAGGGCCTGGTTTTGTGACAAAGAAAAAAACCTTAGATTTTTAGATTTAGATTTTTCTTTAAATGATCAATTCAGCACTTAGAAGTAAAAGCTTTCTTTAACAAGTAGAACCCCTCCCCAACAAATCCTACATACTGTAGTAGTATAAAGGAACAACTAGTTGCTCAGTTTTTAGAAGTTGTTTGCTATTCCAGATACTCTGAAGAATGAGCAAATTTTGCTTAGGCCTCTGAGCTGATTTTATTTCTCAGGGTCTCTCTCCACTACTGAATTAAAGCACTACCCACCTTTCCTTGAGTTAACACAAAATAATGCAGAAAAAATTTACTGTCCCTAATTCCAGTCCCTGTCTTCCTTCTATTATGTCTGTTAAATAGTCTTTCCTGATTTGTGAACATGCTACTTGTTTATAGACAGGATTATTGGTTTTTCCCTCTGGCTATGCAACTGTCTACCTTTAGCATATCACCAGTGAGCAGGAAAGATATCCACCAATCAGAGCACTGTAGAAGACATCAGATGAATCTCACTTCAGGACTCTGTATATCTTTTCTGATGATTTTCTGCTCTTCTCCCCATCCTACACACTTGGTATCTCCCACACTAGAATAATGTGAAAGAAAGAAACATATAGGGAAAATCAGGGCAGTAATCTCCCCAAAGAAGAAAAAGGCAGCCTCTGCCATGATAGTGCAATTAGCTAGGTTCTCCTGGAGGAGTTGGGAAAGTGGCAAATAAGTACTTTCTCTCACTTTAGGGTCAGTGCAGTGAGAAAAAGCAGGACTGCTGCACCTTAAGACAAAGATGTGTTCTAGAAATAATGAAAAATGCCTCTTGCTCTTCCCCAAGTGAAATAGTAGAGGTGAGCTTTACTTTCTTCTAACCTGGAGAGAAATTGGGGTTGAAAATGGAAGTGTATGGGAAGGTAACAGATGTGAAAGGAAAAAAAGTCCTGATGGAGAGAAGTAATTGAAAAGGAGGCTGGCTAGTGACTAGAGAGGAAATCTTCCCAATTCTCCCTGACTGCTTCCAAGATAATGAATGGCATGGCGTTCCGGATTTTATGCCTTGGCGCTATAGTGTTGGAAGATGAGGAAAATACTTTTGTACCGATACAGGTAATTATTCTTGAAGCTGCCTTACTTAAAAACTAGGCATGAGATAAAGCCAGTATAATGGGAATGGAGGACTGGGATTCCTGTTGACAGGGCATGATTGGGTTGTAGTTAATTGGGACCTTGAAGAACTCAGCAGTGTCTTCTTTTCTGCAAATTAACATGGGGGAATGATGCCACGTGGACCAGTTCATTGAGCTTTGCCAGCTGTTAACTACAGAATGCGTACCCAGTTTCAGTAAAACAAAGAACATTTTTAATGAAAGCTAAATAGAATAATGGGAACATACTGCAAAGTAAAATGAAAAAATTAAGCACATTTTTAAACCTGTCATGATTATTAAATTTGTAATTATTCTTCAACTAGACTAATTCTGCCTGGATAAATGTCTAATAAATTTATCTTGATAGCATAATCAATTCTTAAATGCCTGATAAGTGGTTTTCTTCTGAAATCTTGCCAAGAAAACTGCAGGGACACAAGGAGAGCCAGTTTAGTTAAGGCATCGGGCTAGAAACCAGGAGACTGTGCGTTCTAGTCCCATCTTAGGCACGAAGCCAGCTGGGTGACCTTGGGTTAGTCACTCTCTCTCCTAGGAAGGAGGCAATGGCAAATCATTTCTGAAATCTTGCCAAGAAAACTGTAGGGACTTGTCCAGGCAGTCTCCAGGAATCAATGCTGACTTGAAGGCATGCACACACAAACACACACTGCAAAATAAAATGAAAAAACACATTTTTAACCTGTCATGATTTCTGTTAAATATGTAATTATTCTTCAACTTGACTGATTCTGTCTGGATATATGTCTAATGCATTTATCTTGACAGCACAATTAACTCTTAAATGCCTGATAAGCAGCTCTATCAGCAATGCTATGTTTGCAGAGGGAAAGATTGGAGGTCTCAAACTTTGTCTCCCAGAAATGCTCGTATATTCCCCCTGATTCTGCCTTCCTGCCTTGGGGTAGCTGCTTGGTAATTACTGCTGCCACCACCTGTCTTTCAGGGTTATGTGTTTACCTGGTGTCTTGTCTCCAACCCCCAACCCTGTTGTGTGAGATCTCCCAGTCTGTGTGCTTAATGGGCAAGTAAAAGAACAAGAAGCTGAGTAAAAATGAAATAAATGCAATAGTGTCACCTGAACTTGTAGCATGAAATGTATGACTGGGGAGATCAGCCTCTCCTTTTGGAGATAGGTCAATCTCACAAGTGATAAATATATGTTAATGCTTATTTTTAAAAGGAAAAGAAAAAAGCTAAACATTCATTGTTGATTTTAAGTAATCATATGTAAAACAGTGATGAGTGAATTAAAACTATAAGTAAAAAATCATAGAGAGTAGCTTAAAAGAATCTTTAAAGAAAATACTATAAAGGGGTTAAACAGACAACAAAAGCATAAACCATCAGAATTATTTTGAGGCTTATAAACTGAGAATTAAAAGGGTTAATCAACTGATAAATGAAGAGGAACAGACTTGTTCTTG